ACCCTTGCAGTGTGGACGTCCCTGCTCCCACCCTTGCAGTGTGGACGTCCCTGCTCCCACCCTTGCAGTGTGGACGTCCCTGCTCCCACCCTTGCCTCCTAGGCTCAAGCCCCGGAGTGAGGGGAGGGCAGGAGGAGCTGGAGGGAGGTGTGTACAAGTTTATTCATCTTTCCGACTCCTAACATTTGATCCACAGAGCTGAAAACAAAACAGGCCCCCATGCCTTCCCAGGGCAGGTGCGAGAGCAGGGGAAGGATGCAGAGGAGCTGCCTCGGAGCCAGGCAGGTGCTCCCACCTCAGGCCCTCCTGGGCCTCTCTGGGCCGCAGTTTCCCTACTGTAACTGACGTCACGGAGAAGAGAGAGTGGGTCCAGGCACCACTTGGGGCTCATGAGAAACACAGACTTGCAGAAGGGCCCTCATAGGGTTGGGGGTGCTGGGGGGAGCAAGCTCTGTCCACACGACAGGCCTGCTGGGCACAGGCTGGGCTCAGCCACTTCCACATTGCCTCTTAGGCCTGTGGGTCCAAATATCAGGCCCACGGTGCATGCTGGGAGGTAGACCCCCACAACAAAATGCAAGGACCCCAAGCAAGCCCGGGGTGGGACTGGGTGCCACCCTCTCCGGCTGGGTCGAGGGGTGATGCCCCAGGTACCTCCAAGGCTTCCCAGATAAAACAGCCACCGAGAAAAGGCGGCGCCCTGGGCGAGGGTGCTCCTGTGGAGCTGGCCCACATGGGAGGAGAGGACCTGTTGGAAGCCCCACAGCCCAGGAGCCTGTGACTCTCTGGACACTGGTCAATGGAGCTGGCCAGGCCTTGGTTAGCAAGCCCTGCCCCACCCTTGGTCCTCGTGGGCCTCATCTGGCCACTCTGTGAGTGGTTTTTGCAAAAGACACGTGGTTTGTGAAAGCGTCCACCCACCCCTGGAAATGTGGTCCGAGAGACTAATTCTGTGTAACACTGGTGGGGAGGGGGCTGAGCCGTGGCCACCAAGGGGGAAACAGGGGGCATCTGAGGACAGCAGGCTGTGGGGTGAGCCGGGCCCAGAGCAGGAAGAGTCCCCCTCAGCCTGTGAGGGGACACAAGCTGGGGTCCAGTGAGCTGGCAGCCAGGCCGGTTTCCTCCCCTTCCCTCTCGGCAGGGCCCGGGCTCCACCACGCCACACGAGAGCCGCAGTCACCTGAGGCTTGAGCTGGTGCCTCCCTCCTGCTCCCCAGGGTGGAATCCCGGAAGCCTGTCCTATTACCTGCTGAGTTGGAGACCGGGTCCTACCCTGTGGTCAGCTCTCACACCCACCACGACCATGCCGAAGCCAGACATGCAGCTGAATGTCCAGGGACAAGTGCAGCCTTGACGTTCTGAGGATTATTGTGCTTCCCCTTCCAAAAGCAGCCAAGGAGCTCCTGAGAACAGGAGGCCACGCGGCTTGGGAGGGAATATTTTCGTGGTCTCTGTCCACACCCCGGCTGGATGAAACAACAGAAGCAGCAGGAGTCTGGCCGGGCGAGTCCTCTGGGTTCCCCCCTGGCCAGCTGCCCCAGCCCAGCTCCCTCTCATCCTCAAGCACCAGGCTCTGCTCCGGCTACCTGCCTGTGAGCTACGCGGAGGCCTCAGGGATTCAGACTCGCCACAGTAAGCAGGGATTCGCTCCAGCGCCTGAGTCCACAAAGCTATGAATTGATACTGGCTCAGCAATGCTGACCTGGGAAATGGATTAACGCTCACGGAGACTTCCAGATGGAGGGCACTGTAGAGACGATGCTAAGCTGGTAAGTCAACTTGGATTTCACAATGAGCTGAGGAAACCTTTGGTGTTTGGAAGCCAGACATTGACCTAGAACCCAAACTGCAGTCATGGGTTTGTCAACGCCAGGGTCCATCAAGGCCCCGGGAGACCTACTCTGAGCTGAGTCACCTGCAATTGGGATCCCTAATGAGGATAGAGGGCAGCCCCAAGACCTCATTCACACAACCATCCTGCCGGGCCTCCAGGCACTGGCCACCTTACCGCGGCTCGGGGGAGGCGCTTGATCGGGACCTGCCCAGCATCTGCTTCAGGGGCCACACCTAAGGAACCGCGAATTAGGTCACAGCCACCCAGAACGAAGTAGTTGGGTGAAGAATTTCCAGGTAGCATCTGCCTGCCCTGCCCAACAGGAGAGCAGGACAGGTCCCGATGCTGGGAGCTCAGGAGTGCGGGGGTCCAACGGAGGCCCCTTCCTCCCTCCCTCCAGCAGCACCTGGGAAAGCCGGGCGGTGCAGGCTCGCTCCCCAACAGGCATCCTCCCTGCGTCCCACGGACACTGACCACCCCCCCAAAGGCTCTTGTCCCCTTAGCCACAGGCCCACCTTTTGGGACACTGCTCTGTGTCAGGCCTGGTTCTCCTGGGTCGAATTCTCCCCCCTGAGCTGTGAAATGTCCGGAGTCACACAAACCTGGATTCAGACCTCCCCACCTCGAACTAGCCTTGTGACCTCACAAGAACTCATGCTGCTCTTGTGAGGATTAAATGAAATAATAGCGCTCAAAGCACTTGGGCAGGGCCTGGCACATGCCAAGTAGTCAGTAAACAGCTCCTGTTGTCATTATTATGATTGCTATTGTTAGATTCATATACGGAGCCGGTAAAACCAGGTGCCCGCCCAGCACAGCATGAAAACTTCATAGCACCACCACGCTTGCGGCTCACGGTTCCCAGCTGGGCTCCCCACAGCCAGTTCCTGATTAGACAGGAAACGAAAGTTCCGGAGAGCAGAGTGAGGAGCAGGGACGGGGAAGCTGGTTCCCTCCTGTGGAAAACTGCCGCGGGTCTTAGCGTGTCCGGCAGACACAGGTCCCACTGCCGAGTCTGCCGGCAGCATGCGGGGGCACTGACCCGCACTGCCCCAGCCGGCTTCTCCCCACCCGGTTCCACCCGGCAGACGCTCGCTCCGCGGAGGTGGAAGTCCCAGCGTCTGCCTCGGGTTCCCGGGTTTCCCGGCCCGGGGCCAAGTGTGCCCACCGGGCGCCGAGGGGGGGCCCGCACCCTCGTTACCATCCTCCCCCGCCCTCTGCCTGCACCCCGGGGCCCCCGAGGCCCCAGCCAAGGCTCTGTGCCGGGCGTGGGAACCTCGCGTGGCGGGACGGGGACAGGGGCAAGGCCGGCATCTCCGCGGCTGGGGACCAGCCCCGCGCGCTCGCCCGGTAGCCCGGCCCGCGCGGGTAGCTCCGCCCGCGCTCCCCTCCCGGAGGTGCCCGGAGCGCGGCTGAGGCGAACGAAGCGCCACCGCCCACGAGAAACTTCAGTGCTGACGATTTTCTCCTTGACTCAGCACAGCTGTGTACGCCGGAGGTGGGGGGTCCTCCGCAACTCTGCAGCTCCGGGAGGCTCCTCTGTCCCTGGCCCGACCCACGTGACCTGCGCCTGCGTGCGCGGCCGGCCACCTGCTCGCTACCTGCTCTGGCCGCTCCCTCCATCCCCGCCTGAGTCCCAACCACCACTCATCCCCTTCCCCCTGCGCCCGCCTGCTCGGAGGCTTCCTGCCTGGAGAGCTGGCAGCTAGATGGGACGCACTTGGCATCCGATTCCCCGGAGGCAGCCGGGCAGTGGGGCGCCTGTCCGCGCTCGGTCCCGCCCTCCCGCCGGAGGACCGCTCTGGGCGCACTGCCGGGGCCCGGCTCGGCATCCCGCCCGGCATCCTCCCCCACCCCCGCGCCAGCGCCGGCGCCACCTTGATCCTGCTGGCCCCTCGCCCAACGTCCGCGGGTACCTGCTGCGCTCCTGACGTCAGCAGGTCGGGCCCGGCGAACCTGGGCGGCGCCCCCAGGAAGGCGCCCCGACCCTCCGCGGCCCGCGCTCCGGGGAGCACTCACCGTCCGAGCGCCGTGCTGCCGCGCTGCGCACCACGCTCTGGCGGCCCCTCGCAGCCCACTCCGGCTTCATTCATCCGCTCCCGGCCCGCCCCTGGCGCAGACGGGAGGCCGTCTGGCCTCACCTGCGCCAGCCAATGGCTGCGCCGAGCGGGCGGAGCCCGGCCCCTCCGAGCTCCCGGGCCCGCCCACTAAAGTGACAGCTGCGGGAGCGCGCTGCGAGGGGGGACGGGGGGGGGACGGGGGCGGGCGGGGCTGCAGGGCGAGGGGCGGGGCCCGGGGAGGAGCTGAGAGGAAGGGGCCTGAGACTGGAGAGAGTGAGGGGTGCCAGCAGAGAGACTGGGGCCTGGGGCCACGACGCCTTTCCACCCCGCAGCTCGCCATCGCCTAGGAGCCGAGCGCGCCCTCGGAGCCCGGCGCGGGGCCGCGCGCCTTCCACTGACTAATCGCTCCCCAACCCCGAGAGACCAGCATCCCCAAGCTACAGGCCGGGAAACCGAGAGCCGAGCGGTGAAGTCGGCTCCCCAGGCCACGCGGCGACTCAGTTTCGAACTGACTCAGACTTCCAACCCAAGGGTGTGGGACCGAGGCCGTGGGAGAGGACATGGGAGGAAGTGAAGTTTCCCGCCCTAACCTCCGGAAAGGCCACCAGTGACCGGGTGGGGGCCGGGGTGGAGGCGCGGCGGTGCCGCGGGAGGGGCAGGAGAGTGGCGGCCCCGCCAAGCTCACTGCAGGCCTTGGTCTGGCCCCTAGATCCAGCCTGGGATGCCCCACCTGTGTGCGCCTCTTCGGGTGCGCCCCCGACGCCCTTGGGAGTTGCGGGGGGCGGCCGTGTGGGGATGTGCCCTGGGAGCATGGTGAGGGGGACGCACCTCTCCTGGGGGAATCCAGTGTTTCCCGCCTGTTGCCTTTTCGGTAAAATGATCCTCTTTTTGACGTCAGCACTGATGTCAGGCAGGAGGGGGTACCAGACCCATCACCATCAACAGGAGGTCCTATTTGAATTCGTGCCAGTATTTCCTGCTCTGTGACCTTGAACATATTGCTTATTCTCTCTGAGCCTCAGCATCCTCATCCGTAGAACCCAGGGGACGATAGCACTTCCTCAAAGGGCCATTGAAAACATTAAATAGAATGAAACAGGGATGAGGTTGCCCCAGATAAGGGTTCATAGGGTCACGAAGTTAACGTATTAACAGCTGATCACAATAACACTCCACAATTTTTTTCCTTTTTCGTTTCCGTAAAATGGATTTATTTTAAAAGAAGTGTACAGAAGTCACCCGTGCGTGTGTTTGAAGCCTAAGACAAGTTAGGCAAGGGAGAAATGACTGAAACTGACTTCAGGCTGATAACCCATGGTACCACAGAGGAGGTGTGGGGGGGCTGGCCTCTTCCTGTGGGGGTGGGGGAGGGGGGAGAGGCACAGCCAGAGGAGGTGCAGGGGCTCATGGGAGAATGCCCACAGGGCGCAGTTATTTATGAAATGCTCTTCCTTCAGAGGGAGAGGCTTGTGCCCACTTGTCTGGTCCTGGGAGTCCCTGGTGATGTCCTGGGCCTCTAGGCTGTCTCCATGCGAGCCTCCACTCTCGGAAGCTGGGGTGAGGTCCAGCTGCTCCTGGAATATTGGCCTCTGTTCCTGGACTCTCCCAACAAACACTAACTGTTGTTCCTGGAGGGAGAAGTTCCCTCCAAGAGGATGAGGAACTGCAGGGGGAACCTGGAAGAGGAGGCTGCCAAGAGCAGATGGGATCCGGCTCTGCGAAGACTCCCCATGAGGACAGGGCATCAAGCTGCTCTGCGGACCTGGCCTCGGTGAGGAACCTGCTGGGAGCAGCATTTTCCCGTGGAGCTGACTCGAGATGCCTTGGGTAGGTGGTGAGCTCCCCATCATGGGGGGGCATGTGAGCAGAGCTAGCCAACCTTCTGATGCGGATGTTGCGAAAGCATTTCAAATGTCGGAAGCAGGATTGGACTTGTTTCCAGATTTCATTTTGGATTATATTCCTTGAAACCATTATTTACACAATGTTTTTCCTTTGAACAATGCATGTATTTTACTAAAAGGGTACGTTTATTTAAAAAAACGGAAATCCCTGTCATTACCGTAGAGAGGTAAAATAAATGAAAATAGATTAAAAAAACAGAAAGCAGTATTAAATTCTAGCCAAATAAGGCTGTCTGCTGAGGGTTGTTAGCCTCAGACCTGCTCCCTCCTGGTTTGCAAAAGGACGTTGGCTGGTGTCAGACACTCACGGAGACTTTCTCCTGGGTGTGATCAGCTCCGTGGGGTGAGAAGGAAGGAGAGAACCCAGCTCTCACTGTGGCTCACTGCTGTTGGCAGTCCTGTCTAGGCACTGGCCCTTCCGCCACATGCCACAGGGCCCTGGTCCACCTTGGGCAAACACTGGCCCCCAAGGCTGGGCTCATGGTCCTTCCCTGTCGGCACCAGCAAACTGACCGTCGTGTTGGACGGTTTCCCCACCAGGGGTCCACAGACATGATTTGAAAGGTAAATTGGAAGCAAACATTTGAGGCATATTAATGCAGAATGCAGGCCTGCCATCCTTAAAGTCCCCCCACCGGCCCACCATGCCCAGGTGCCTTGAGAGGCCCCTGGGAGCACCTGTGTGCCCTGAGACCACACCCTGTGCAGCCTGCCCGCACGGCCGTGCCCTGGGGTGGGAAGGGGGACCAGAGAGCTGGCCCAGACTCCAGGCTGCCGTCAGCTCTATCCTTGTCCTCCTCCCCTCGGAGGAATTAGGAGGGGCAAGGAGGAGGCCTGAGAGGTCACCCACAGAGCACAGCAGCCTCTGAGAACAAGGGCAGCCTGATAAAGTGCCCTGGAACATTCCGAACTCAATAAGTTCTATCCCGGCGGGGTTCTGTCTAGAGAGAAAATAATTAAAAGGAAAAGAAGGAAAGAACCCAAGTCCCTCCCCCTCATCCCCCGACCCCCCACCGTGGTCCTGCGGGGGACGCACTGCTGAGAGTTGGGGCATCTCCAGCAGGCGCGGAACAGCCGCTGTACATGTCTGTGGTCAGTCACTGCCCTCTGACATCATCTTTGGAGGCTTCCCAGAGAACTGAAATGTGCAAGCTGGTACCAACACAGCCCTCTCTCCCGGAACTTCAGCTGGCTTTACCGACATCTCGCCTTGGGGGAAGTGTGTCTCCTCCCAAGATCAGAAGAGAAGTGGAGAGAGAGAAACTTTCTCTAGGTCCTGGGACAGGTTAATGGCCAAACCAGAAGCACCCCCTGATCCTCGAAGCCCCTGTCTGGGGTTCTGGCCTGGAAAACGGGACACGGGGCATGGTATCCAAAAGGGACCGGCTCAGCTAGGAATGATTTATTTGAAGAATGCTTAAAATCCTATGTTACTGTGGTGTTTTGTGGTCATTTCTATTTTGATGAGTTTTGCATATATGATTGCAAAATGATTCGTTGAATCATTTGAAACTGCCAATGTTCTTCCCTTCTTGATCTCCCAAGGAGGCCATTTCACCCTAATGACAATCGACACCAAGTCTTGGAAATGATGAAGACACATTGGGAGCAAAGTCGAGGCTGTGACCATGCAGTGGAGGTTCAGGAGAAAGTTTTAAAAAAATACCTAAGGTTATGATTTGACTGTTTTGCATGAAGAAAGAGGATTTTGCTGAAGGTTAAGGGGATCTATCAGGCTCAAGGCAAAACAGTTTCTCATCCTCAGTTACAGAGTACAGGTGTGTGAGCTCTCTCGCTCTATTAGACGCTATGTTCAGGAAAGGTGCAGTCCAGGTGTGGGCTGACAGCTGGTACATGGCTTACAAAGAAGAGAGGCATGAGGTCAGAGTGGTCCCAGGAAGAGACTCAGCCTGAAGTCATCCAAACTTCCCAGAAGGCAAAGCTTCATGGCGGGATTAAGAGTGTCAGGGGAGGGGAGGGCGTGGACCACCGGGAGGGTCTTTGTTAGCATGAGTCCACGAATGGTAAAAAGCATCTTCTGTCCTCAAATTCATAATTCCACCCTAGGGAGGGAAAGCCCCTTTGGAGCAGAGTATGGCCAGGGGCCCTTGGGGCCCTCCGCGGCCACTTGCTGACCTTTGCCTGGGGCACTTGATTAGCTTCCCTGGGCCTTGGTTTCCCACCCTTCTCACAGTGCTTGGTGTCGTGCTGGGCATGCACACGCAGAAGCCCTCCGTGCGAGCTGTCGTGGTCGTTAGCAGCCACTCCGTGTTCCAGCTGCTGCTTTGCTCACCTGACGTGAATTGAGATGGTGGCCTTGCTGGGTTGGGACCCTGGCCAGCTCTGCACAAGTGCCTGCTGACTGGTCTGTGTGACAGCAACCTGGCAAGTTGTGAGGAGCCGTCTCTGGGCCACAAACATCCCCACTGTTCCTCCCTCTGTATCTCCCGCAGCAAAGTGACTCTCAGGAGATGGAGTTTCAATTCCATCTTTGTCTTTTTCAGAGTATCTGCCACCTTTAAAAGCAGTGCTGGGGAATCTGATTCCATTGCCCAGGTCCCAGGCATTCTTCCAAAGCGCTGGCGGACCAGGGAGATTCTTCCTGGGGTTACAGATGCACCGATTCCCACAGGAATGATGACGTGCTGGCTGCCCTTCTCGGGGCGGCGATGGGAGCTCTGGGCCCAGGAGAACAGAGACCCTCATTCACCAGCATTTGGGTCTGGCTTGTTCTACCGGTGACAGCTCAGGCTTCTGCGTCTGGGCAGCAGAAGCAGTATCATGTTCTCGTTAGAAGCCACCAGCTCACTGGTCCTTGCTCAGAGATCCTAGAGTTAGAGATTAGGTTTCGGGTAGAAAAAGATGGAGTCTGGAGTTCTCTGTCTAGCCAGACAGCTCCGAGTTCTGAGAACACAATTTGAGGGCACCTGGGGCACCCTAGGTTCCGGAAAGGCAGACTCTGTGGGGGTGGCTCTGTGGCACAGGCATTGCGGGAGCTGCAGGGAGAGCTGAGCCAGACTCCCAGCGCCCGCTGAGCCCAGCCCTGGTCCAGACCCGTGGCGGCAGCCGCCCGGCATTTCCCTATGAGGATCATTTGAATTTAACTGTGGATCCACTTGTGCGGTCCTTCTGCACTCGCTTCTATAAAGAGGCAAATGTCTTTGCCAGCTAGAGGGCATCCGGAACTGCCCCGGCCTGCCTGGCGCCTGCCCCGCCTGTCTGGGAGTGGAGTAG